CTTATTCTGTAAGGATCTGCTTGAGCAAAGGGGTTGGACTAGAAGACCTCCAAGGTCCCTTCCAACTCTTATTCTGTAAGGATCTGCTTGAGCAAGAGGGCTGGATTAGATGACCTCCAGGGTCCCTTCCAACTCTTATTCTGTAAGGATCTGCTTGAGCAAAGGGGTTGGACTAGAAGACCTCCAGGGTCCCTTCCAACTCTTATTCTGTAAGGATCTGCTTGAGCAAGAGGGCTGGATTAGATGACCTCCAGGGTCCCTTCCAACTCTTATTCTGTAAGGATCTGCTTGAGCAAGAGGGCTGGACTAGAAGACCTCCAAGGTCCCTTCTTATTCTGAAGAGCAGGGTTTCCTGCTTGAGCAAGAGGGCTAGACTAGAAGACCTCCAAGGTCCCTTCCAATTCTTATTCTGGGGAGGAGAGAAGGATCTGCTTGACTAGAAGACCTCCAAAGTCCCTTTGTTATTCCACACAAAAAGAACCCTTCTGCTTGGGCAGGAAAGCTCTCCAGGCAGGGCATCCTTGGCCAGTCTCCGCCCCCTCGGCCGGGGCCGCTGCTCTCCCTTACCCCAACCCGAGCTTGAAGGAGACCCTCAAACCTGCCCTCAGCCCCTCCCGTTCGCCCGAGGACAAGGGCGAGGCTTCCTTTGCCGCGGTCCCTTTAAGAGAGTCCCCGCCCACTCGGCGGGAGGCCCGGAAGGAACGCCGGCCGGGTCACGTGACGCCGCTCTCGCAACCCCGCAGTCAGGGAAAAACATGCGAGCGGCGGCGGCGGCGGCGGCTCCTTGGGCCGGCCTGGCTCTCCTCTGGGCGGCGGGCTTCTGCGCGGGGGACGCCAAGGGCTACCGGAGGAGGGTAGGTGCCGGACTCTGGGAAGGGGGGACGCGCCGGGCGGGCTTGTTCCCCGAGAAGGCTCGCTGGGGGAAGGCAGGAAGCGGAGGAAGGCGCTCTGCCCATGCCCAGAGGCGCTTTTGCCTTACATATGTGCGAGGGGAATCTCTTAAAATTGGCAAGGTGAGAAGAGCTCCGGATCTAAAGGGAAGTTCCTTGAGGTTTCTAAACAGGTAGATCAGGCGTGTGATCTACCATCCCAAGCGTGTGAGTGAAGAAGGGATTATGGGAGCTGGAGTCCTGGCATCAGGTTGGCACAAACAAGCTCTTCCGTGGACTGCGCTTTCCGTGGCTTTAAATCTGTACTTTATTAGATTTTTAAAAATATATATATATAGTTATGTCACCCCCATCATCAGCTCTGGATGGCTCCCATTCAAAAGGAAACAGGAAAAAAGGCAAGGTTAAAACTATAAAACTAATAAAGTAAATATTAAAAGGAACCAAACTCTGGCATCAAGTCGTACTTTTGATCTGCAGTTATCTCATCCCGGCCCTTGGGGAAAACCAAACTCCCTTGGCTGTTTTTTATGGCTTTAATCCTGCCTTTATTATTTTGATAAATAACTCAAGGCAACATACATAGCTACTACTCCTTCTTTCTTTAAAGGCCTGGAGACTAAAACATAGGAAGAACGGCTACAGGATTTGGGTTAATGAAAAGAAGAATTAGTGGGGACATGATAGCACGATTCCAGGATTTGAGGGGCTGCCCCCAAAGAAGAGGGGAGATCAAATTATTTTTCAAAACTCCAGAAGGGAGGACAAGAAACAACGGATGGAAACTCATCAAGGAGAGAAGCAACCTGGAATTAAGGAAAAACTTTCAAACAGAACAATTAAGCAGTGGAACAGCTTGCCACTAGAAGTTGTGGGTGCTCCGTCACGGGTGGCTTTTAAGAAGAGATTGGACAATCATTTTGTCTGAATGGTATAAGGTCTCCCGCTTGAGCAGGGGGTTGGGCTAGATGACCACCACGGTGCCTTCCAGCTCTATTCTGATTCTGATTCAGCCCTTTTGGGATAAGAAAGTGGGGTTGGGCTAGATGACCTCCAAGGTCCCTTCCAGCTCTATTCTGATTCAGCCTTTTTTGGGATAAGAAAGTGTGGGTGAGAGTTGTTGGTGTTCACGGTTCCTCTTTTCCTCTGACTCAGAGCAGAAGGAAAAAAATGCTGCTTCTGTCTTTTCCTCCCGGAGCTTCAGAAATTAGAAAAATGAATCGTGCATTTTCTCTTTCTTCAGAAACTTCACCCGTGAATTAAGCCTGGCTCTGGGAATCCCCTCTGTGGCCATTTTCTAATCATTTCCCTTCCTCTTCCTTCTTTTTTTAAAATGGCTTTTATTGTTGTAGCCAAAGGGATGAGGTGGTTCAGTGGCTAAGGCGCTGAGCTTGTCGATCAGAAAGGTCAGCAGTTCAGTGATTCGAATCCCTAGCGCTGCGTAACAGAGTGAGCCCCCGTTCCTTGTCCCAGCTTCTGCCAACCTAGCAGTCCAAAACGTAAAAATGCAAATAGAAAAATAGGCACCACCTTTGGTGAGAAGGGAACAGCTTTCCGTGCGCCTTCGGGGGAGTTGAGTCATGCCAGCCACATGACCACGGAGACGTCTTC